CAACGCAATCCGAATAAGACATAAACAGTGACCACTGAGCTATAAATACAAGCATATAGACTAAGGAAGGAGAATGTTTGATCTATGATATAACTATATATTATACCAGCTGTAACCCGCGGGCTTTGTCCCGTTTAACTTCTTAATTTTCAAGATGATCTCGTTCGCATGGCTCAATCACGTCCTGGTTGAAGTTCGTTCGCTACGCTCACTCACCTTTGGGTTGGAGCTCGTTCGCTGCGCTCACTTGCCTTCAGGTTAGCTCGTTCGCTACGCTCACTTGCCTTCAGGTTACCTCGTTCACTACGCTAACTCGCCTCCAGGGGCCCATTTCATAATAAACTACAAGTTACAAGTTACAACTTGTAACTTGTAATTTCCATTAGATTTGCATTGGGCGATCAGCTGATTTACTAATAATATTAGTTTGTACTTTATTATGAAATGGGCCCCAGGTTGAAGTTCGTTCGCTATGCTTATTGCTCACTCACCTATTGGATGCAAATTAGCTGTTGTCATAAATGTAAAAGAAATAATAGTGCTGCACCCTGTTGGTAATCCTTGTAACTTTAATGCTATTGAACATCATAGAACAGAACCAACTTGTTTAATTGAAACAGCTGTTAAGATTCAATAATTCCATTTCTCATAAGGTTAACATGGGAAACTCCAGAGCCACTGGGGCGGAGCCCGAAAGGATTTTTGAAATAAGAATATGCCTATATGTTAATCGGGAATGTGAGCTATCATCATGCCAAATTTCAGCCCAATCCGACCAGTATTTTTCGAGTTTACTTTTCCCATACACACATACACACATACAGCAACCACCTCTTTTTTATAATAGTATAGATAGACTAGCAGTTACCCGGTGCGCGTTGCTGCGCTTAACAACTATCTATATATAAAGGCAAAAGTACCCATGAACTTTTGAGAAAACTACAAGTCACACCCCCATAAACCATATACTTAATGTTAAAAATACCTCAGCTGTTCTTATTTGTATGTTATTCTTTCAATTATATTTATTACCTTATTAAAATCTGGTGTGATTATTTGTTTGTAATGCTGTATTCTGTTTTGTTTATTTCATCTTAACTTAAACCAATCAATAGTTTTTTATAATACTTTGAAGTCAAAAGGGTTGAAGCCCGTGGGTAACAGCTAGTTATTTTAAATGGTAATTTGTTCTTTACAACTAATAATAAAAGTGTATACCAAAAATAAAAATAGGACATTTTACTTCTTTGGCAGAGGATAAACAATGATTTTTGTTTTTTCATTAGGTGTATAAATATATAAGTTTTTAGGCGTACCTACCACCACGTGAACACGCAACATACAGCTGTCCGCGTGAAAAGCATGCATTTTCTAAATTTAAACCGAGATAGTCAGGGATTGCCCTAGTGCCTTATGGGGATTGCGAAAGCAAGACACAAAGGAAATTATAGTTGTTGCTTAAATTAAATTATGAGGGTAACTCGGATGAAATCATCAGTATATTCTTGGGATTAAGGCTACTTCTTCTTTAAGCTTACCACTGATAATTTTTGCTTCAATCAATTTTGGTGTCATGTTTAAAATCGTCAGTCTGGTAGCGATGCACAGCTTCAGTGGGTTTAAGTTTCGCATTAGTATTATTGGAGTTCCTTCTTTTAATGACAGAGTAATGTTAGTGACAAATAGAGAGGCATTTAATTGAATGCGAGATATCATGGCACACACGAATATTCGCCTAGTAAATTTATGTTAGATTATGTAGGTATAGAACCAAAGATAAAACTATTAAGGCACTTCCATCCCTTTTATTGTTTATAACTTAAATATTTTTATAAAGGTTTTTATGTTTACATATTATTTTAACATTGCAGAATTTAAACGCTGTTGAGTGCACAGGCGTGCTGTGATTGGGTTTTAATATATTTGGACTTATTCAAACGTAAAATAGTTTTTTGTGTTGCACTCCGTGGAAACATATTGTGGCACTATTTCAAATCATGACTAATACAGCATGTTAGCAGTCCCGCAAGGGTCCATACTTGGGCCGTTTCTATTTTTAGTATCGATAAATGATTTGCCTAATAATGTTCTCTGTGATACCTATTTATATGCTGATGACTCGACCTTTCTTGTGCATGGTTCTGATATAGATTTATTAAGTTTGCATGTTAAAGATGTAGTTGGTAACATTTCAGACTGGTTTGCAGCAAACTCTTTTCTCTTAAACAACGAAAAAACAAAATCTGTCATATTTAGCTTAAGAAAAGTACCTGATGTTTTTGATTCACAAGATTATATTAAGTTTTTGGGTGTTTTGATTGATAAACAGTTAACCTGGTCACAACAGATTGATCAACTAACAAATAGGCTTTCAAGAATTGTTTTCTTGTTCTCTAGATTAGTGCACTATGTTCCTTTTGATTATGTAAAATCTGCTTATTTTGCGTTATTTCAGTCAATTGCTTCATATGGTTTAATTTATTATGGTAGCTCTCCTAAAATCCACGAGGTACTTCTATCTCAGAAAAAAATCATCAGAATAATGTGTAAAGAGGATAGTGAAGCACACTGTAAACCCCTTTTTATTGAATTAAAAATATTGACCATCATTAACTTATACATTTATCAATTATTATTGTTTACTTTTAAGAATAGCTTTAAATACAAAATGAGAAATGAAGTGCACAGTATTAGTACCAGAAACTGCAAAAAGATTGATCTGCCTCAGGTACGGTTGGAAAAAACAAGATCTGGACATGTTGTGATGGGTATCAGGCTATTAAATAAATTACCTCTGGCTGTGACAGATTTAGACTTTAAGAATTTTAAGAAAAGGCTGTTTTTATTTTTAGTAAACAACCCGCTCTACCGTATCGAAGATTTTTTTAGCATGTCTGATAAGTTAATAAAAAATATTTGAATAGGATGTAACTGTGATTTAGATATAAGTTGCACGATTTTTTAATTTATTACTGTCAAATTTTTAATCTCTTGCCATGGTTTGTAACTTTTGTATTTATTTGCTCGTCGCTCAATTTCAATTTTAACTCTTGTATTATATTGACTGTATTAACTGAATTCCTTGTTATTTATATATTTATACATTTATTTACTCTAAGACTGAATACGAGATGTATTAACCAACATTTTGACCTATCTATGCATTTCATATGTAAAAAATGATGAATAAATGTCTTATGTCTTATGTCTTATGTCTTATGTTGTGATTGTTCAAACCTAAAAAACAGTTGCCGGGTACAAAAAAATAACAGCTCTATAGTTATATATTTATTTGTAAACATAAAAGTATGACATTGGCCCACTTAAAACCCTCTGGGGCGGAGTCTTTTTGACGGATCTGCACCAAACTTCACACAAACCATCCTTGTGTAATGCTTAATAATGCCTGAAAGTTTCATTACAATCTGTTGAGTGGTTTCGGAGTCCATAACATACATACATATACGTACATAGTTCCTCTTATAGATTTCTGTTGTATAAAATAGTTACATATTATAATTTCAAGCAAAATAAAATAAACTGTATCAGCAGCATTCTCACACGTACTTTCTCCCATAAGTTTGTCAACAACCTTTATCATGATTGTGTAAGCGGTGAGAGTAAATATAGCCTACAGAAATGGGATTTGTACAATTTTGTTCAGAATTTAAAGGACTATAACATACTAAATTTTTATCAAAATCGTTCAGACCATTTTTGGGAAAATCCTATTTTTCGTTATTTTATGATATTTTTTATGGGAAAATAACATAATTTACAACAACTTTTGAACCGTTACAGAAATGGGATTTGTACCATTTTGTTCAAAATTTAAATGGCTACACATACTAAATTTTTTATCAAAATCGTTTGGGCCATTTTTGAGAAAATCCGATTTTCCGGTTTATAATGGGTACAATACTAAATTTCATGAAATCGGACCACATAGTTGTGTAGTCCCTAGCCACGGCCGCCTTTACCTCCAGGCCGCGGCCTGGTAGAATTGGCAACGTCGCAAGTGGTGTTGTCTAGCGCCAGACGTCCCATAAGATAACATGGCAGACAGGTGATATCAACTCCTTATTTCGCGGATTATTCATTAAAATTAAAATTTATTAACATAAATTTATTGAAAGATTGAAAATAAAACATATAGAATTGAAAACAAAAACAATATTTTAATAGAAAATCAATTTTTGTACTTTTTAAAGTGGAGTCAATATTGTCATAGTCCAGTAACCAAGCTTTCGTAAATACACAAATACCATTAGCTGCTGCCAAACTAAACAGCTGTTACAACACAACTTGCAACGTTGCCAATTCGAAGGCCGCGGCTGGAGTTAAAGGCGGCCGTGCCCTAGCTCTGTAGTGTACCGGTACACATCCAGACACACAGACATCACAAACTCGAAAATTGTGAAGAAAACAATACTTTATCCATAATATGGTATAGGAGGAGAACGAAATTAAAAACAATTTGCTATGGATTTTATGAAGAAGAATAACATCTAACATCATAGAGAATAGAGATGTCTAATGGAGTGTTCTTGATACTCAGTGTCAGTGTGGTATAAGTAAAATTAAAATATAATTTTCCCAAAATTGATCTGACGACACGTTTTACAGAACATGGCAAATCTTAAACAATTTCGTAGAAGCATTATTGTAGTATAACAAGAATAAAAACTATTTCAAAGACTATATGTTGGCTAACCTGTCGGAAACTGTAGGTAAATATTAATGGGACCTTTTCCGGTACTCCACTTTACTACTTTAAGTTAAGATCACGATTACTAGAAAAATACCGGTATGGATCATAAACATAAACAAAATGACGTTGTTGGCCCGAATCCTATACTAATATTATTGAACATATGTTTTGGCAGTTCCATTTAAGCAATGTTAAATAATGTTTATTTTCGGGCCAAAAACGTCACTTGTTTATGTTTATGATCCATAACTTACCGGTATTTTTCTAGTAATCGTGGTTAAGATTAAGAAATGTTAAGATGTTGGAAATAAACACAAACAAAACCGTTGCAACATTTTCATAGTTCTATCATCAACACCATTAAGTTGAAAACACGGGAAAGTAACAAATTCATTTTTATCAATTTATATATTGGTAATGGCAGAGTCAAGTTTGACGTGCAATTATAGAAACTGTAAAGAACTGTTAATCGATTTTGCCTGTGTGACAAGATGTTCTCACATATTTTGCATAAACCATTTTATTCAAGGCGAGGGTGCAAATAAAAGATGTTATGTATGTGGGGCAGTTTTAGAAGGGGACTTTGATGTCATACGGCATGATAGTCTTAACCCAACTGAAGAGGAAAAATTGGTAAGGTTATTCTGACTGCACTTTGTTTAGGCCTACGTCATACACTCAAAAACTCATTCGATATATTCATTCAAATGAGTGTAGGACGTAAACTAAAGTGCAGCCTTAGGATGTTTTATGTTTAAGTATTCTGATTTGGATTTTGGTTGGATAACAATTTTTTCTAAAAATGTGATTCCCATTTTTATCTTGTTTTAAAAAAGGTTCTATGTTCAAAATGTTTACCACATGGGTATTTGTTTACTTTAGGGGCTTCTAACGAATTTTGAAAAAAATGTTATTTTCTCATTAATTGGCCTATTTTGAACACTTTTTACATTTGGCACTTTTGGGGCAAACGCCTATTTCACCCTAAAAATCGCGTTTGAAAATTGCAAAAAGTGCTAAAAATTTGAGTGGTACTTTTACTCTTAATGTGTTTTTACTATTACTTAGGACCTACAGAACTGAATATAATCCAACCTAACTTTATCTAATCTAATCTAACCTAACCTAACCTAACCTAACCCAACCCTACCTAACCAATGCTTAGATTAGCAATATGCCGAAAAAAGCGGATTATTAGTTAAACCAAGGTTAGGTTAGGTTAGCTTAGTTCAGGTTAGGTAAGGTATGGCTAGTTATTAAGTTATTATTTAATTTAATTAGCCTAAAATCACCTGAATATTTGAAATCTAACCTAACTTAACCTTACGTTTAAACTAACCTAACTATATTTAAACTAACCTAACCTAACCTAACCTAACTTAACCTAATCTAACTTAACCTAACCTAACCCAACCCTACCTAACCAATGCTTAGGTTAGCAATATGCCGAAAATAGCGGATTTTTAGTTAAACCAAGGTTAGGTTATAATAAACATAACATCTGCTTATTACTACAATAATAAAAACACATTTAAAGAAAGGCAAGGGGGGGGAAAACCCTGATTTTCAAAGTAAAAATGGCAATTGCTGAAAAATTTTCGCGATTTTCAAACGCAATTTTCAGGGTGAAATATGCGTTTGCCCCAAAAGTGCCAAATGTAAAAAGTGTTCAAAATAGGCCAAATAATGAGAAAAAAACATTTTTTTCAAAATTCGTTAGAAGCCCCTAAAGTAAACAAATACCAAAACATGGGTTTTAAACTTAAACTTAATTCCCAGATCAATAAGTTAAGAAGTACGGTATTCAAAAACTTACATTAGGGCCTATTAATGACGCTGCCAAAAGAACGGGTACACTTCCGCAGAGAACCTTCGATATAAGTATCGGATGAATAAACTAACGATAAATATCAGAATGTATGGATATTTATCTGGTTTGATATTAATATCACAATGATTTTAATTTAACGATATTAACTTATATAGGTAAATAACTCAAATACAATAACATTAACAAAGCTTTTTATACCCTAGTTTCCACTTAAATATTTAAGATAAAAAAATGGAGAAATTGTTTGTAGGTTTTTAGTTCATTTCTTAATATTTTTATCATTAATTTTTGTTTTGGTTATTGTTTGTTTTGTATGTTGGACACAACAAAAAGGAAGGTTAGCTTGGATCAGTTTAGTTTATGATATAGGTAATGACAAACAAAATATAATTTACAAAATTTGACCTTTTCATAACTTATAAGCTCATGAAAAAGAGGACACAAATACCAATTGATGTCTTTGTAGATTTATCTCTTTGACATTACACACCATATCAACTTGTTTATCAAAACGTAACCTTATTTGTAATTAGGGCCTATCATTTAAACTAAACTAAATCATAATCCAAACTGAACTAACTAACCTAGGCTAAATGCTGTAGAGAAGTGTAGCAGATTCTTTTGAAAAAGACCCTAAGGCTTAAAATGTTCATATTCAATACAAATAATCGATATAGGCTAACTTATATTGCATGAAAGCGATAGCCGAGCGATATATATATCAAAATAATATTTCACCAGGTTCTCTGCAGAACTGTAGGCTACCAAGGTTTTATGTGGTAGGCCACTGGCACAGAGAAGTAAATATAAATATTAGGACTAGACCTATAAGTATTTTAATATTACTTCTCTGTTGGTAGGGGTATTTTGTTATTAGGAACACAAAATTTTTCACTATAATGATTAGGCCTACTAATTTCAAATCTGTATTCCTTGCAGTTTTTGCTTGCTGGTTATTCTTCTGAGGTAATTTTTAACATAATGGTTAGAGCAATTCAATTTTGGGATTATCAAACAAACGTAAAAGTAATGCAGTACAAATATAAAATTGAAAACATGAAATCCTTCTTATCTGAAAAAGACCGTTATATTGAAAATCTGACTCTAAAAATAAAACAGCATATTAAGAAGGAGCAGGAGAAAATCAATTGTAAGTACATTTTTAGGGTAACTTTCCACAAATTAAAGCATAAGTTACCATACAAAACCTACAAAAGTAAATAAAATATGCAATATAAAATAAGTAAGTTTATGCATCTCATAAGTTACTGTACTTTGTAAAGAGAACAATTTTACGTGTGATCTTCAAATACTGGTACGGTAACTCATTTTGCCAAAATTAGGCTATATATTTTTTTTTTTGCATTTTACAACTAAACATTTCTTGTAAGCAAATAAATATTAAAAATAGCCTATTAGACCAGTTTTAAGAAGTAGTGTACAACAGATATTATGATTATTATCCGAGAGGAACTCAGGGAAGTGAACAGGCCTATGACATTCCCAGATATGTGGACTATCGGTGTGTTTGATTTTGGCTATACAGTATTGGTTTGGTATTTTAGTCAGGCAACCACACAGACATAGAATAGAATAGAATAGAAAAGTGCTTTATTAATACATATTATGTACAGTAGGCTACATGAAATGGGTACGATAAATTGATTCATGCACATACAACAATGGTCATACGACCGTCTGCTGGGTTGGCATAATGTCCTCATAATGTCCATTCAATATTAATGAAATAAAATTGTTCCACATAATCAACATACTAAGCACTAAAACAAAATAAAATAACACTTCTTAATGCAACACATATACATACATATATACACATACACATGTATGCATACATACACATATATGTATACTCTAAACATATTGTATACAAAATTTTAAAAATTAAATTCCCTAACTAACTCCCATCTACGTTTCCATGCAATTTTTAAAAAACTTCCAAGGCCCCGCCAATCCTTCCCATTCAAATAATCCACAAACTCCTCATATTGTATTTTTTGTTTACCAAAATACAAGAGTCGCAAGTCATTGAACACCGGGCAACTAGCCACAAAGTGTAAAGCAGATTCATTCTCGTTTAAATTACACAAGGAACATGTGTGGTTTTTGTCGACAATCCACGGTTTATAGTTGAGATCTATAAGTTCTCCTCTACATTTTATTATCCAAGAAATGGTTCGGTTGTCTAAACCAGTTTCCAAGAAGCTATTGTTGCCAAGGTCAAAGTCAACGACGAGGTATTGAGAATGATAAGCTGAAGTACGCGCTCTGCCTAGACACTCAGCTCTCCAGCTATCTCTTGCTGCATTTACGACACTAACTAATTGAGACTTTAACCTACCACTCCCCGCCACCTCCATCGTATGTATATTCAGGTCTATTTGCACGCCATATTTGATTCCTAATGCTCTCCACGCTCGACACCAATCTACATTTTTTCTTAACACTTCAGCTGCTAATAATCTTGGTAAACGTTCAGGTGGTAGCCCCAATATATTTATTATATAATTAAGATTCATTGAGAGAGAATAAATGTGTAATTTATCTAGACCCGTTTCCAAGTACAGTGAGTAATTTGGCGTGTTATTAGGCAACTGAAACAGTTTCCTAATAAATAACTTTTGTACAGATTCTATCTTTTCGCTCTCTAAGTATCCCCATACCTGGCCTCCATAACATAATATTGATCTTACCACAGCGTTAAAACACACAAATTTTGAGGACAGATGCACCCTGTCATTGTTTATTAATTTGTTCCAGGCGGCGTTAATGGCTAATTTTGCAGCTGAGGACTTCATCTTAAAATGTTGTTCCCAACTTAGCATTGGCGTGAACAATACCCCTAGATATTTGTAAGAGTTAACAATCTCGACCTCTTTGCCTTTATAGAACCATTTATTACTTTTTGCCAATCTACCTCCTTTGCGAAAAACCATAATTTTGGATTTATTAGTATTAACTTGAAGGTTCCATAAATTGCAATAAATTTCAAGTTTTCCAATCATTTGTTGCAGTACAACAGCCGTGGGAGCTATTAAGACTATGTCATCCGCATACATTAGGATATTTATTTTCTGACCTCCAAATAAACATCCGCCCTCTAAAAATTCTGGCAAATCATTTATAAATATTGAGAATAAAGTAGGGCTAAGATTACAACCCTGTTTTAAACCCATCTTGGACTCAAAACTACTTGTAATGCCGTTTTTACACCATACAGAAACATTGGTTCTATCGTAAAGATTTTCAAGAAGCTTGACAAATTTGGTTGAGACTCCTATACTAAATAATTTATAAATTAAGGCCTTTCTGTCTATAGTGTCGAAGGCTGCTGAAAAATCTACAAAAAAACAAAATAACTTGCCTTTTTTAATCGCACAACTTAAATTAATCATACATGATAAACTAAATATATTATCAATGGTAGAATATCCACGTCTGAACCCCCCTTGAAACTCTGTCAATATATTATTCTGAGTTAACCACACATTTAGTCTAGAATTCAGCAAACTCGTAAATATTTTACCACCACAGTCAATAAAGGAAAGTCCTCTATAATTCTCAACAGAATTTACATCTCCCTTTTTGTGCAGCGGGAATATAATTGATTTTTTAAAACTTTCCACTACCCTGCACTTGTTAAACATGTTATTATAAATACCCAATAATCTAGTGAGCAGTGAATCTGGAGCATTTTTATAAAACTCGTAGGGCACCCTATCGTGGCCCGGCGCTTTATTATCTTTTAATCTCGCGAGAACTGATTTTAACTCTAACATACTAAAATCTCTGTCCAAAACATCGTTTGTTATCATTGGTTCCGCATAACAGATCCCAGCTGATAATCGTGGCGGGTTTAATAATTTACTAAAATGGTTGATTCAATCCTGTGGTGCAATGTTACCCACGAACCTATCACTCCCGTATTTAAAACTGTTTAAAGCCGACCAAAATGTTTTCGCGTCAGTCCTGTGATTTAAACTGGCAATCGTGTTATCCAAGTGCATTTTTTGTTTATTTTTACATACAAATTTAAACATCTTACATGCTTGAATGTACTCAGATTTGTCAGCTGTCGAGTTTGTCCTACGAAATGTGTTTAACCTCTTAAATTTCCGCTTTCTCAACGCTAAACATTCGTAATCAAACCATTTTTGTTTGTGTTGTTGTTTTAAAGAACAGCTACTACTAGTCGCACTTTGCTTTGAATGGGCTGACTCCTTTATAATATGTACAATTTGATCTACATTATTTTGGTCGTCCAACGATATATGAAACCTAGCAATATTCTGAATAACCTTTTCCTGATATAAAATATTATCACGTCGAGTCCATTTTAGTTTTGGGAGTAAAGGTAAAATGTTTTCATCTCTTCTCCTCACACAAATGTCGTTATCTATCGATAAGGATACTTCAATTGGCAGGTGGTCAGAGCCCGTGTGTTCAACAACTTTAAACCCCTGTATGATATCTAGACAAGATAATGAGACCGCGGCTATATCAATAACAGAGCATCCCATTACACCTATAAAAGTATATTCCCCGCCATAATCACCCTCTGACCTACCGTTCAGTATAACTAACCCTAAATTTTCACACAGATCTAAAATTCTCTTTCCTTTATTGTTAACAATTAAATCTTTGGAGTTTCGGGTTCGTCTAAATAACAATGATTCCACTTGGTTAAAACAATATTCTGGTAAAGTTTGTTCTATACCTACACGGCCATTAACATCACCGATCAAAATAAAATCTTGAAAATTATTGTTTGTCAAAAAGTTTGATAAAGCCTGAAAGTTATCATCCCATGAATTATAATTAATATATACTGGCATTAACACTATTGATCTATTACTAACTGTATTCCTTATTTGCACTAACACATAGTTATCGTATTCAATAAAATTAATTTTGTCACAAAACGGAGAACTTAAATTAATCAAAATTATTAATCCTCCCATGTATCTTCCATGGCTTGAGCTACGTTTAGCAAAACTAAAATTCTTTTTGAAATTTTTTAACTTTTGGTCTATATATGGAGCATCAACCTCAGAAATAAATGATTCTAAAATAAAAACAATATCATACAAATTAATGAACTCTATAAAACTTAAATCATTCACCTTGGACTTTAACCCGCATACATTGTAGGCCACTAATTTTAAACTACCTATCTTACTTAAAGTACTTGTTGAGTCCGTTCGACGTACTTCTGTGGCTGGATTGGCGTAGACCCCTCAACCCCGCACTGCCTGAGAGTAGCTCGCTGTCCCCACACAGACATACAGACACCACCTCAATTTTATAAGTATGTTTTCTGTGGCATAGATTTCAATGTATTCATCTGTTCAAATTGATAATTGACAATTGACATTGTTGAGATGATTGACATTGACATGAGATGATTGAAATTTTCTCCCTAAGAAGGCCACTGGGGCAGAGCCCTGGTGGAATTTCAAACATTTTTTGCTTGATGACAAATCTTAATGCCACGACCTATTCAATGACACCTAAACATGGTCATTGGATGGATGGCAGCTTCAAAACAACTATTACAAAATTCATGTTGGCCTATTAAATATTTAGATTTTGAATACCGAATACCGTAACATTAATTTTATTGAGTTCTTAGGTTTGCTTCTACAGGGTAATAAGGTGTTTTTTTTTAATGTAATGTTGATAGCTTAGGTAGTATGAAATTAAAAAAAATTCCAAATTTGATCAAAATATCCTTAAAATCAAATTACAACTGTTTATTGACCATAGAAATAACATGGACATTTTAAATTTAACAATTTTTTGGAAATATGGGACATTTGCAAAAAAAAAGGCTTGGACCTAGTTATTTGTTAAATGGTTAGCAAATTATGTTCTTCTATTTTTTTTTTATCAAGATTGGGCTTGTGCATGGCAAGTATCAGGCAAAGAGAGGGATGAAGTGGTACAGTATTAAATTTTAGTACCGGTAGCTACCCCAGAAAGTCATTTATTTTCACAGTCTATCATGCTACTTACTCATCTGTCATAGTTAGAAATAACTTTATCTTTATTGACTTAAATACCCCTGCCCCATCAAACCTGCCAACTAAGCGAATTTCCATTTGTCTGAATTGATTTTCAATTAAAAATATTTAAATAATATTAGGTTTAACGAGCACCTAGGCTTGCTGCTACAAGGAAACTAATGAAATGTGTTTTTTTTAGTAAAATACTAATAGCTTAGTATAAAATAAATCAATTTGCCAAGTTTGATCAAAATATATCCATAAACAAGCAAACTACAACATTTTACAATATTCTCCATAAGAATAACACGGAGATTTTAAATTTACAATTTTTTGAATTTACTCCGTTACCAATAACCATACAAAATCACTTTGATATAGTACTAAATTATTTGTTTTTTAAGGTCTTTAAAAAGGTCTAGAGAGAAATTGGGAAATTTTGTGTTTTGAGGGTCAAAAATGAGAAAAACCATTTTCTACCCCATAAAAGCCCGTGCCCATGGTCCCATCATGCTGGTTCATGAACTCAATAGAGATTATCCCGCCTTATAACCTTTAAACCAAATTTCATCAAAATTGGACAAAAAATACTCAAGTTATCACGCTCACAGACGTATATACAGGGTGGTAAAACAGTCCCAGGACAGTTAAATATTTTAAAAAATAATGCAGATAGAGCTACAACACTTGGTACAAAGTTACAGGGCATAAAACTCTATTTTAACACATATTCAGTGATCCAGGAGTCAGAAGAAAATCTTAAATGGAAGCATAGGTCACTATGCACATAAAATTAAAGGTCTGTTTTAGTAGAATACAATGCCGCAAACCGCACTTCAAAAGGTTGATCCTGCGTAAAACGACAGTTGTTTAAAGATACATTTAATTTACATTGCTTACGCTTACTCCTCAGGGGGCTCCGCCCTAGGAATCGGAAGAAAATTGTTAATGTAAGCATAGGTCGATATGCACATCAAATTAAAGGTCTTCACTAGTAGATTACGATGCCGTAAATTCAAGCTCAAAAGAATGCCTGAGTAAAAAATGGCAGTCGATCAAAGATTCAAAATGGCAGATTCAAGAAATCTTTGAACATCTGCCATTTTGCCCAGGATCAACCTTTTGAAGTGCGGTTTGCGGCATTGTATTCTACTAAAAAATACCTTTAATTTGATGTGCATACTGACCTATGCTTCCATTTAAGATTTTCTTATGACTCCTTGTGGGCCGTCCTCCTGAAGAGTTATTGGATCACTGAATATGTGTTAAAATAGATTTTTATGCCCTGTAACTTTGTACAAAGTATTGTAGCTCTATCTGCATCATTTTTTAAAATATTTTACTGTCCTGGGACTTTTTTACCACCCTGTATATTACAACAGCACCAGAAAATATAATAACTTGAAGAAATGGTGTTTTTGCCCTCTGGGGACATCAAAATGACAAAGTAAATCGGTTTCCAAACATGACACATTTTATAAATAAACGGTATCAGCAAACTGACACATACTTTCTCCCATAAGCTTGTAAACAACCTTTATCATGGGTAAGCGGTTGGAGTAAACTATGATATTCTATAGGGATAAATCGCTAAAGTTGCAATAACTTTTGAACCGTAATTGTTACAGCAATGGGTGGTCGTACTATTTTTGTTTAGAATTATTTAACACGTTCAGCCCGAAGTGTACCACCGGTGGTACACGTCGGAATTTAGGGACTGATTAAAAATACTATACCAGATATAGTAACTTAACCAGAAAGACGAAACTAAATTAACACGTAATATTAATAGGATTGAAAAAAATCTTTTGATATTGTCTTGTTTGCACTGAAACTTTGTTATAAGTGTGAAATTACGTAGTTTTATGAGTGTACCACCGATGGCGCATGTCGACCGGGGCGTATTCGGGAGTTCCTGCCAGTCGACGTGCGTCACACGCTCTACTTGCGGATGGCACGAGTTGACCAAGCTAGAGGGACCTGTCAGAAAAAATAGGAACCCATTTATGTGTATACAATGTTTTAATAAGAACCACTAAGGACTAAAGACATGGACTTAATGTGTTTCAAATTGTAAATCAATTATTAGGGATGTTACATTCATGGCATTTTACTTTTCTTATTGTAACTCATAACAATAAACAAGCAATCTTTTTATAATAACTAGCCTACATTAGGAAACAATATTTTACATTTTTACACAATTTGGATAATACTGAAGCATTTTTGTATTCAATAAAACTTCATTAAATTAATTTGTTATTTATTTCCCTATTAAACATTAGGTATAATATAAGGTAAAAATGTAAGTGTAATAAAGTTCTAAGAAACGGGACTATTTTTCAAAGTATGGTTTGGTCAAAAAAAATTGCACGTGCGCCACAGGTGGCCACAATTTGTTTTTATAAACCTAAACTACGAATACACAGTTTATATATCTCAGAAAAGCTCCGAACACACTTCTAAAAAGCATCAAATCAAATGGAAACAATGCGCCACCGGTGGCACACGTCGGAGTTTTGGAAAGTTGGCCGTGCGCCACCGGTGGCGCATGTCGGAGCTATGGTAAGTTCAAAAACTGACAACTAATTTCCGTCGGGCTGAACGTGTTAAGGAACATAACACCTTAATTTTAATAAAAACCGGCTTTTTTTCTAATATTCTATATTTTGTTATTTTATGGGGTTTTTATGGGAAATAACATAAGTTACAATGACTTTTGAACCGTAATTTTTACGGAAATGGGATCTGTACCATTTTGTTCAAAATTTAGAGGACCATAACATACTAATTTTAATCAAAACCAGCCTTTTTTCTAAAATAACCTTGTTTGTTTTTATGGGAAAATAACGTAAGTTTTACAATAACTTTGGAACCGTAATTTTTACAGAAATGGAACTTGTACAATTTTATTCCGAATTTAAAGGACTGTAACATATTAAATTTTTATCAAAATCGTTTAGGCCGTTTTTGAGAAATTAGATTTTTCCGTTCATTAATGTGTTTTATGAGAAAATCACCATTAAAATAAAGATTTTGAAAAAATAAAAAAAACCCTGGATATATAATGGATTAGTACCTACGTACCAAATTTCATCAAAATCCGATGACAGGTGTGGTCTGTAGCTCTGTACACATCCACACACTCAGACATCACTTCGAAAACCACTTTTTTGGGTTCAGGGGGACCAAAAACGGATATATCCACTCAAAACTCATTCTCGAATATTTTGACGAAACCAATACTTTCCCCATATCCCATGTATAGCGGGGAAAAGTGACCCAAAACGGATATATCTAATCAAAACTCAAACTAAAAAATTTTGACGAAAACAATATACTTTCTCCATATACTACGTAGGTACTGTATATGGGGAGAAAGTAAAAATGTATTCAATTGTTTTTTGCATTCTTTGGAAGAATTACTTTTTTTACCATACATGAGGCTTTTTTACTGTCATATACATTTTAGCCTACATTGGCTGATAAGCCGTTACCTTAAGTTAATGACCCAATGTAGTTTGTTCTATAATGACTCTTTCAGCATCCTTTTGTATGCAGTAAAATGAAATATACCATGATAGGCCTAAATAAATCAGCCAATAGTGGAAATTTGATCCACACTCAGTTGGTAATTTGAAGTTTGTATAAAAAGCTTTACTTTTCATGCCGGTTCCTACTTTTCTTAAAACTTACATTACAAACCATTTAATTTTTTTAATAGATCTAAAAAATGAGGTTGAAAAGCTGACTGCTTCTGCTATAAATTTGGAGAAGCAAATCGAAGCAAAGAATCGACAAATCTCCTACATGCAGGTAACTGACAAATATTTCTCTTTTCTTAACACAACCTTTCTGTTACCTGAAACTTATAATTATATATACAAATATATTTATAATTCTGTTTATAGTGTCATTTTAACTACCGGCAATTTTAGTTTAAAGTCAAACACAACTGGTTTTCACTTTTCCTACTTATTTAACGATTTAATTTGCAATACACAAACAAATGTGTGGGTTGTTTAAATTTTAGTCCAAGTACGATGATCTCCATCGTCACTCTATGGCATCTCAGATTACACAGGAGACCAACAACATGGACATTGAAGAGTTAGCAGATATTGTTTGCTCCCAGAGTGCAAATGTTACCAACAAAAATCCTCGTGAGTAAAAAAGCTTTAAGTTTTTAATCATATTCATTGATGCAAGTTATCTTCCATTTGCAACATGAAGATGGACACTCTTCTTGATCTAAATGAGTGTTTTCTATTTGTTGGATTCAAATATAGTTCTACAGTAGAACCTCTTTAATCCGAACTAATTGGGACCAGGGGTAGTTCAGTCTATTGAATAGTTCGGATTACAGAACATATTGTTGTTTTTACATAAAATGGCTAGTTTTGGCTAAAATTGATCAAAATTATTTTGGGAAAAGTGAAAAAATGTTTTTTAAAGTAAGTAGTGTTTATTTAATACAGTAGTAAACATGGTGAATAAACAGTACTGTACATTAAATACAGTATACAATAAAGAATTGCTGTACTGTGTATAGAGTACAGCAATGAGGGGTTCGGATTAGTGGACGTTCGGATTAAAGAGGTTCTACTGTATCACCACATTTCCCACAAAAAGATACTTTGATATTTCTGAGGCTGTGTTATACAATGCGCTTAGGTACTTGAAATCAAGAAATTTTTACTTTGTAATCTGTTATATCTTTTAATGTCTTGGGTACATAAAAACCAAACAGGCTACACATATAGTTAGTTTTTTAAATTCTGTACATAGCTATGAAACTAGAAGTAGAAACAACATGACTATATGTCCCCACTCCTTATACATGTATATAAGTGACAGTGGTACGATGACAGCAGCTTTCCAGTTTTATAATAAACTAGCTGTTACCCATGGGCTTCGCCACTTTTGACTTCATAAGTATTAATAAAACTATTGATTGCCGTACCGGGTTGGGTGGCATTTCGAGTGGCTTCGAGGCAGTCGAGCGTTGATTGTGAATCGTTTTGACTAAATCATCGTGCCGTCTGCGTCTGTCTGCCTGCCTAGTTCCACTGTCAGAGTGTCTGTCTACCTACACACACACGAACACAGACAAATACTTATTGCGATCAAGGTTAAGTCGATACCGGCAATGGCGACAATAGTTGCTCGCACTGAACTAGAGCTACAACCGAAGGTAGCACTGATAGTGAGAATTGAGAGACGTTGGCCGCCATATTTATTAGAGGAATAGTACTTTGGAACTAGGGCATTGCAATTGCCAACAGCCATGAGCTGGTTGATTCTTCTAGTGATACCAACATAACAACATTTACAGCGTCTCGATTTTCTAGCAGAGTTGCCATGCTAGTGATACCTCCATTTGGATGTTTTCAGTCTACGATTATTTCGTTTCGTAAAATGCAAGAGCGGTTCCCTGATTCCGTTTACTTATCACACTTTGATACAATAAATAACTGAGAGCGCACGATAATTTTGGGCCGGCATGAACTACGCCGATTGTCTGATTCAGAATTCAAACGAACATAAACGACTAAACTAAGTTGTCATATGTAATGCCTAAAGTCAGTGCACCGAGTTTCAGTATCCTAGGTAAATGGGAAGTAGGAGAATTTATTAGTGATGAGTGAGTAAGTCAGTCAGTGAGGGCATTTTATAGGTATAGATTACCTGTACCTAAATATCTGAGAACTGACTATGACAGAACTATCTGTAGTTTAAGAATTTTAAAATTTTTTATTAGTAGACCATTTTATTCTGTTGCTGGTTATACAGACTGTCCCAAAAGTCCCGGACCGGTTTAATATTTTCTAAACGACAACAGATAAATCAATAAGATTTGGTACATCAACACCACACCTAAAAATCTACTTTTTTAAGGAAATATCAATTTTCTGTCACATCATGGGCCGTCCCATGCAAGGAGTCAGAAGGAAAACTTAAATAGAAGCATAGGTTGACATGTACATTGAATTAAAGGTCTTTACTAGCAGAATATAATGCCGCAAATTTGAACTCAAACGGACAACCAAGTCAAGAATGACAGTGGTTCAAAGATTCATTTAATTTGCATTTGGGGGCACAGCCCTAGGAATCGGAAAAAAGTTTTTACGTAAGCATGAGTCGATATGCACATCAAATTAAAGGTCTTCACTAGTAGATTTCAATGCCGTAAATTCAAGCCCAAAAGAACGCCTGAGTAAAAAATGGCAGTCGTTCAAAGATTCAAAACGGCAGGTTCAAGAAATCTTTGAACGGCTGCAATTTTTTACTCAGGCGTTCTTTTGAGCTTGAATTTACGGCATTGTAATCTACTAGTAAAGGTCTTTAATTTGATGTGCATGTCAACCTATGCTTCTATTTAAGATTTCCTTCTGACTCCTTGTGGGACGTCCCCATGATATGACAGAAAATTGATAGTCCCTTAAAAAAGTAGATTTTTAAGTGTGGTGTTGATGTGCAAAATCTTATTGATTTGTCCAGGGCCGGTTTAACCCATACGCAAACTAAGCGGCCGCATATGGCGCCACAAAAAATTGGCGCCGTGGCGCCAACGGAACAATGTTTTTTTTTTTAGTGAACAACGTAATTTTGTTTATTTTCGCTCAGAGTTCAAGTATTCAAAGCACCACAATAAAGGCATTTATTCTGTTTGTACCAACAGCATATGAAAAATGCGTATATTTGTACAGCACTACAACTCAAGGACCTAATGCCATTTGTAGTTTCGATTTGTAGTGAGCTGACGCTCGGCAGTCGGCAGCGTACTACAGCGCGGCGCCTGTGGGTTTCATTTCATGACTCATGTTCTGAACCACATTCTGATGTTCTGAACCAGATTGATACCAACTCTGCAATTAAAGAATTTGCCAAGATCAAAGCTAGGAAAATTAATTTTTTACTGCTAAGAGCTTTTGAACTGTTCAAATTGATAATTTTGTATTCTTTTTGTCAAGGTAATACATTTGGTTTTTCATGTTTTCTTCATGTTTAATGTGTTCAATTAAAAATTCATCTCTTGTCATCTATCTACACCTGTTTTTCATTGTAATAGGCTTTAACTTATATCGTATCCAAGTTATCCTGTAATAGTATATTACGTTACTAGTCCTGAAAATAAGTGTTTACCGGACGAGTGTGGTCGTTCCCGTGCGAGACGGTCGAGTACGGGATTACCATACGAGTCCGGTTAACACATTTTGGACAAGTTACGTACGATAGTTTTCGCCATACTACTAAATCTGTACACATCCTTACATATTACCACCAACTAAAGGACTAAAAATCACTAGTCATAACCTTTAAGAGAAGTTATGTTTTTGTTTATAACCACTCATTGTCACCCAAATACAGTGTAATCAGCTGATTGGTGTCAGGTAAAACTCATTACAGTACAGTAGTACGCAATGAAACCCCATTTGATTAAGCTGGTGGCAAACAGCTGTTTTCTGGACTAAATCCTTGTGTGGAAAGTTCGTCAAAATAGTGTAGTATGGCGTAAAAATTGTTTTCACATTTAGAAATAAATTGTCAACTTAGGCCGTGATGCTCGTCAAGCATGACGTCACGATAGAAGACGGCAATGACGTAGGTATTTATTTATTTATTTTCCAAGGAAAGATTAAAACAAGCAGCTGATCACAAACGGCAAACATTACGTCATTGCCGTCTTCTATCGTGACGTCATGCTTGACGAGCATTACGGCCTGTTTTTTTAGTGTAGCCTTGGTTTTGCTAAAGTTTAAATACGATGAGTAAAAGTGTAAAAATGTTAAATTCCTAAGAATAATAAACAGTCTTTTATTGCAAGTATTCTTCTAACCTAAACTTATAAAAAAGGTCTTCCCAAAATCGTTAGGAAAAAATTCACAAATAGAGTTAAGTAATGTTCATGGGTTGAGGGTGGGGTGGTGGGGGGGGATTCTAAGTGGCGCTGATTCGGGTGTTCGCTTAACTCTGAAAAATTCCTAGAACCGGCCCTGGATTTGTCTGTTGTCGTTTAGAAAATATTAAACCGGTCCGGGACTTTTGGGACAGTCTGTATAGATGGAACATGGACATCAGCTGATATAAGTTAACTTAAACTCATCTTAATGTGCGAGCTGTATATTAATAGACAAGCCTATATAAACCTGTATATTTGTACAAAATGTCTTTAGCAAAATAAAATCTTATCTTATATAAAACCATTTTTGAGTTTATGCGCTGATTGTTCCAAATGGTGTATTTCCTATAGTTACTTGTGCAATTAGTGAGCAAAGTGAGCAATTAGCTCACTCAAGAGAAATCCTTATATGAATTGCCATCGAGTAGTCTTTAACATTTTAAACTAGTTGTAAATACCACAGTATTTTGATTTTCAATAAATTGTTACTGAAAGCTACAACTAACTTGAAGAAGTTCAAAAATAGTTCTATGGCAGGAAATTCAATATTAATTAATGCAATTTATTCTGTGGATATTTTTTAACTAATGTGAATGGCAAATGGTCACTACTGTTACAACAAGTTAGAATATATTCGGGCAATATCAATCAAGCATCATGTCATGTTGACAGACATTTAAGTGAAAGATAAATTATATCATAAATTTGAAGTGAATGTTTAGATATAAGTTAAGTGAGCAAGTGACTAACATAAATAGGCTATATAAAACGATTGTTTGTGTAAAACAATAGATTTGCTCATTCAACTCATGTAAAATTTAACTAAATTTTGTTTTTTTCTGTAAACAGACAATAATTAACCATGTGTTTATTCCTGCAGCACCAGCAACACCGGTATTTGTGTTTGAGCCAAAAGCAAGACAAACTCCTAATTCCCGATCATCAGGCTCCTTCCATCGCAGTTCATCTTCTCAGACTGGTTTCCTGTCTTTCTAGAGCTCAAGTCAAAAGTTAACTAAGGGTTACAAGCAGGAACTATAATGTATTGCCAGTGTTATCCCATAGACATAGTAAAATATAACTATTTGCATGTTGTATGAGAAGTTTTAACATGATACTGTTTGTTTATCAATTATCAATGAAGTTATACACCAATTCAATTAAAACATTGGCTAAAAGAATTTTTGTTTAATTCTTTAGAATGGAATGTATTGGGATAGAAAGAAAAGCCATACGAAAAGGACATAAATAGTTTATTTTTAGTTTAAGCATGAACATTTTTACAAAGCAATTAGGTTTCAAAATCTACAGTCGTTGGCCTTTTTTTTAAGTAGAATTGCTGATTTGAAAGGATAAAACTTATAGGGGCTTAAAACTGTTGTAGCGATTATATAAAAGTTATAAGATATATTCATGATACGGTACATTTTGTTTATGGAACATAAAAAAAGTTAAAATGTATTATTAAATAAATCAAACACTCTTGTTTCAAAATATTTTTGTAAAAGATTTGATAGATAACAAAATTGTAGTTATGCCATTGAAATAACAAATATTCTCTTCCTTTATCAAAGTTTAAGACCTACAGTAGAATCACTCTTATTCGGACACCTTTTAACCGGACTAAACTCGGTGGAAATGACATCTCTTTAACCGGAAAATTTTTATCAGCACATCGGTTTAACTGGACTAGATGGGCATGAAGTGGGCGGTACTGAAACAACTGTTCTGTCTGTCATCACACACCAGTCATCACATGTCTAAAGACAATGCTCTCCTAAATTTAAGTCAAATACTGTATACATACAGCATGCACGTAAACGGTCCAGTTTAACAAGTTTTTGGGGACGTCGGTTTAACCGGAAAACCCGTTATCTGGACTGGCCTCGGTCCTGAGGAGTCCGTATAAGAGGGAGTCTACTGTAAATGAAAATGTCTTCAACAGGAAGAATGCCCTGACAGTTTGTGTACTTTGTAATTAAAAATTTTGTTATTTATTTGCATTATCTTATACCGTAGTTATCAGGTCTGAAAATTAAATGTTAACTACATCATACAAAGTCTTGATATCTGGGGTTTACTTCTTTAATTTACTCTCCACTATCTGGCTGAGAATGTAAGATAAGGTAGTAAATTAGAAGACATTTTGTGAAGCCTAACTTTTATTTCAACTTAAAGTTGAACTACTAACTTGCACTACAGTTAACACCTAATTTTAGTGCCTTAATTCATTTCTAACCGGTTAAAAAAAAGAGACATATGTAATACGAGAAACTATAACGTCTATCTACCAAGTAGTAAGAGAAGAGGGGGATAGAACATTTTATATTACACCAGATATTTATACATCGAGGAATGCCTTGTCTTATCTCCTCACGGTCTCAATTTTAGCGATTTCAAGTTCTTTTATGTTCTCAGTGATCGAGGTCTTACAATTCCCTTTAAAGTTGCCTTTACATTCTTTACATCTTATTAACAATATCCTACACAGACTAGCACTTTAAACTTAAGATTAATATAAAATATATCAGATTAAAAATAATATTCCATTTCAGCTTAATATAATGATAAAACACATAAGACTCAATAATGTGCAACAAGAACAAGGTATTTAACAACATTCTGTACAATAGTTTAACTGTTAATTTGTTTTACAAGGGGGGGTGATGGTCTCTGTCATCTGCAAACAAAACCAGGGCATTAATATTACTTAAAACACTATAAACAAAAAACTTCTACTGACCAAAAACTCTTTAAATTTGCAATTAAATAAAATATAGAGCACAAAAACCAATGATATTTATTCTTTTTTTATGAAAGTAAAAAGTTGTTATCCAAATTTATGTAATCTACTAAAAAGTGCTGGATATTATCAACAAATATAGTTCATTCAGTAAGTTATCCTTTTAAATGTGTTGGAACCATTTTGAAAAGAGGTAGAATCCAGCTAGCTTACCTGAGTAGAGTCCATGGACACAATAAAATAATAATATATTAATATTATAGACACAGGGTGCCCCAAAAGTAAATAGCCTAAGTATCGGAAAAGGTTCTATGGGTAGAAAAATAAAGAGAAAATCAATAAAAATGTCTTTCCGAAATTACTTTGTTAACCAGATTTTGTATTTATATATTTATTTATAGCTACTAACAAATAGCTTAAACATGACAATTTTCAATTGTAAAATGAGATAAAATAAGACTAAGCTAGAAAGTCAGGTGCACATAATTTTTCCTTATTTTACAACTAACATATATTCAGCTATTTATTATGTGATGTTTTTTTAACTTTGTGTCATTTGGTTATAAAATAAGCCATTTTTACAGTAGAACGTCAATAATCTAGATTAATTGCGACTGGCCCCATCCACTTTTCCAAATTGTATATTTTCTATTCTGTAGAGCATCTAAAAGAGAGATGAATTTAAAACAGTTTTAATGTTTAAGCACAGTAGTAGAACCTTGATTAACAATGAGGCGGATCAACCTTGGTAAATAGATATCTCTAAAATAACGTAACATAACCTCATTATCCAAGAAAAATGCCATTTTTCATAAATTCATTGTATACTATTTTGGTTCCTTATTGATATTCTGTAGGCTCCCAGATTATTATTATTATTTTTTAATGTCACATTTCTTTTGGCAAAAATTAAATTAACGAGCAGAACAAAGAAATATTGATCAAAAGCTCCTAAGTGACGTCACGCTTGTGCTGACAATCTTCTGCTCCTTACTACATATCGTCTGCTGTGCGTGTAAGCTGTAGACGACATAACGCTTTGGCTGCCTGAGATTGATAGGTAACCATGGCAGGTTGTTGAATGTGTGGATGAAGAGAAACCCAAAAAGAACAGTAGAACAAAGAAATGTTTTTATGTCGTTGTTATCTTTATCTTATTTTTATTTTTAAGGTCTATATTTTCAGTTTTTCATGAGTTCTAACGCTTTAACATCTCCAATATGATTTGTTTTCAACGTTAATTCCGACACTCCTCTGTTCTCAAATAGCTTCTACGTTAGCCTATCTCTAGTAGTGGCTTACTAGACCTCCTGTTTTGTTGTTTTTCTTTAGTTTTTGTTGAGTTAGCAGAAGCTGAGATTTTAAACTGAACAGTTTTTATAACAGAACCAAAGTTAATGAATTGAAAATATCATGATTTGATTGCGCAATACAAGCATTGAATTTTGTTGACGTAAAAATCCAAATTATGACATAAATGTCTTTTTGTACGGATTTACAGTGTTTTTATGGGCCTGTCATCATACATTTTTAATATTTTTATACCATGTTGGAATAACCATGGTTCTCAGTTATAAGTGGTAAAGAATTTTAATTTTTGCTAGAGACAAATCTGGATTATTGATGGTCCAGTTTTGAAATCCTAATTATTGACGTTCTACTGTAACTTAAATTATAAAAATTAAATTGGCCGCCATTTTGAAATTTTTAATTTGATCAAGTTTATTATTTTTTTAAATCTTGTCTCTTCTACCATAAAACTCATAGCAAGTTTCATAAAGATCGGTGGAAAAATTTCAAAGATATAAATGTTGATGTAAAAAAAACTAATTGGCGGATATATGGTTAACGAAGTGATTTTGAAAAACATGTCTTGTTTATTTTCTCTTAATATTTATATTACATAGAAGCATTTTCTGGAGTTCAGCTTTTTACTCACGGGGCACTATGGAAACACAAAAAAATATCATTTTGCCTGGCTTTTCTTCAAACAGTGACAAATATGTATTTTTGATTTGTATCAATTATGAAAAAAATTGTTTTAAACATGAACTCAACATTACATAGTTGTTTCTTTAATATTTATTATCTCTGGCTTTAGCTATATATATTCTTAAATGAATTTTATGTGATTTTCCCCTTTTTTTCTGGTGGTGATCCAGTACCATAGTGGATCAAACTACCAGTTTAAAATTACTCGAGACTTAATTTAATTATACAACCGTTACCTAGACTGCCTTGATTCCTTTTTTTGTAAACCTCCTTTCTGTTCAATTACATTACATGTATGATATTTTTTCCAAGCTACTTACTTCTAGTCGTAGTCAATATCCATATTGTTTGAATTAAAACTGTTTCCAGAAATACTTGTGTCGCTTGAGGAAGTTGAGGATGCTCGGCTGGCACTGTCTACCTGCTCCGCGGCCCTGCAATACATTCCATGTCAATATAAATATAATTGTACGGAAAGTAGATAAAAGTAACGTCTTATAACACTTAAAACATATATTATACTGTTACTCACAAGACGGTAAATATACAAAAAAGATGGTAAGTGGTGATCGATTTCCATTCGCCTATTGGATCTGATGATGATTGAAGTGTCCAATCGAAATCGATCACCACTTACCACCTTTTTTTTGTATATTTACCGTCTTTTGAGTTACAGTATAAGCATCAATATATGTTTTAAGTGTTATAAGACGTTTCTTTTATCTACTTTCCTTAAATTTAATAACACGTACAATGCTAATCAAGAAGTTATTTAATATAATCGTAGACATTTTGGGATCTGAATGCTTTTCAGTGCTAAAGTAGGGTGTCCAGCCAACCTGGAAACGGGTAAAACCAGGAATTGTACTTGAGTTTTGATGACCGGAATCAAATCTGGTAATTTTACGTGAATTAAAAAAAAAAACAGAAAAATTAAATGTTTGAATTATTGCTAAAAAATCTGCCCGTAATTGCCGACTTTGTTTTGTTTTGCGTGGTTGAAAATTACGATTGCGGGAAACTATCGCGAATAACGAACGTTGCCGCGGTCGCAAGAAATATCACGGGCATTGCTGCAACTGCCCAAACTCATCCCAGATGTTGCCGCCATCTCTAGAAATTAGAGGTGGGCCTAACTTACTTGACCTTTGAGTAATTACTTGACTTTTTCGAGATGAGTAATAACTACTACTAAATAATGTGAGTCAAGCACAGTAGACTCCCTCTCGTTCGGCCACCTCGGGACCGAACCACCGGCCGAACTAACCGATGATACTGTATATAAGGAAGACTACAGTACTTTTACTGAAGTAAATGGACTTATAAGTAGGGGTAGGCGAGTACTCGACTTTTTCCAAATACTCGACC